GACTCTTATTAATGGAGGAGCAACAGCTATTCACCCATTATTCCCCCCTACAACCCCCAAGTCATATTTTCAAAGATATCTGAACCCCTATTCGCCCCAATCGTATTTTCAGAGATATCTGATCTTTGTGTTATGAGTAACTGCTTCTGCTACTATGACAGAACTTTTAAAAGTCTCAGTACTGAAAATTTGCCCTCACACAGGAAACTAAAGTAGAACATAAGGCAGTATATAGAATATATATGTTTGCCGTTTTCCCCCTTGGCCTCAGATTTCATAAGCTTTCGTTTGTTAATCATAAAAGCTCATTACCTAATTTAATAGGTATCCCTTGAACGTGTTCATTTTAGTTTTTTCATTGAAGTAAAGAAAATATAATTTACTCTTTAATATCAACATCATACAAATTAAATGAAACTTCATGATAATCTGATAATAAGCTATACAGCTTATATCTCCCACTTATTTTCCCTCATTACTGTAATGAAATCAACACATAATTTATAATACTTTTTTCTCATATTGAAAAGATACGTTAAGAAATAAGCTAAAAAAGATCATGCAAAGATTATAGAGTTCATTTCTCATTTGTACTCATATAACAAACCTTTATTCACTGTTACCTGCCAGGTTCTGGGGATAAAGGAATAAAAATGGCCAAGTATACAGTAAACATAGCACGTTTACCCCTTTCTTTCACTTCATTTGATTTATAAATAAAACTATTTTTAACTAGTAACACATTAACATATTCAAAAATTAAAACTAATCTGAAAGACATACAGTAAAAAAGTCCCATCTACCCCATTTTCCTCTCCATCTCAAGAAAGGACTTAGATTTTGTATACTCTTCTAGATTCTATTTTGAACTCTACTTTTTTCAAACAACAATGTATGTGGGAAAACTTTACAAATCCGTATATAAAGAACATCCTCTTTTTTTTTTTTTTTTAATATAGCTGCAGAGTATTTCATTCAACAGATATGCTGAACTGTTCATTTAACCAGTACCTTATGGATAGACATTAGGGGTGTTTCCAATCCTTTGCTACTACAAACAAAACTACATTAAAACACCTGTACATGTTATTTTATAAGTACACAAGTATATCCGTAATAAATTCCCAAAATTGGTACTGTGACAAGAGATAAATGCATTGGTCTTTTTCTAGAATTGCCTATTTGCCTTCCACGGGGTTGTGTCATTTTGCACTTCTGCCACATATGAATCTCAGATGTATCCTATTTCCCTCCTTGAGTCTCTAAAATACTTTGTTCATCAGGCAGTTTTCAAAGATGTTCTCACGTGAAGCTCTTTATTTTTTCCCAAATGCATCTGTAAAGTTTGTTAACTTAGTAAGTTTAAAAGTAAATAAATTTTCAAATTAAAAAAACCCTTGACACAGTAAATTATCATATCAATGCCTAATGTGCTGATAGCAACCCAATTATTTTTCTTCCCAATATCTCTTATGATGTAAAAACACATATACTCCCTATTCAAGTTTTTTAAATTAATATTCAGTAATTTATAATCGGATAAGCAGTCAAATGCATTTCACTTTTAAATAAATGTTTTCCTGAAACACTTAAATGTTTTCATAAAACGAAATCAGTGTTACTTCTATATTTTACTTTAAAAGTTATAATTTAAAAAGTGGTTGCCATTTGCAATAGGCAATGTCACCTAATACATTATTTTTATTACAATTTCTATCCTATCAAATATTTAATAATTAGAAAACAAACATTTAAGTCCATTGGACTTGCTGTTAGAAGGAATCCTTAAGTAAATCCAGTTTCAATATGACTATAACTGTTTCATAAGAAAACATGTAACTGATAATTTTTATTCCCCAAATAAGGATATACTGTAAATATGAATCTGTGTTGCATTTCAGTCATTCAGAAATCAGTTGTGAGATCACCTCAATACCGTGAAACAAAGTGTCTAGACTAGTTGGTGACCCCAAAGTAAGTTTTAAAAAGCTGCCACACATTCCATGCCCTTAGTCAGTAGATGATGCAGAACCATATAGGCTCTAACCTAAGTAATATATAATGAAAGGCAAATGCTTTGATTTTAAATGTCAGTAGAGTATACTGACAAAAAAGGCAAAAATTAACTAAGAAAAGTAAAACAAAACAAAAAAACACATCACAAGTACATCCAGGACATAACAGGTTATCAGTCTAAGACAATTTAGGAGAAAACAGTCCAACACAATATAATGGTTTCTTAGGAAATCACTCTCTTTTAGCCCTGTAAAATGACTGATGTTCACAATGAAAGCTCTGAGCCATAAACAAAAAAACTTGAAATTTATTGTGTTTAAGAAAACAGAGATGTAAATTTTATATTTTAGAAAAATATTTATACAAAACAAATTTGGCACATAAAATGATAAGATTTGGTTATACAGAAGAGATGAGGAATATAACATTTGTTAGTAATAACCCAACACATGAAGTCCTCAAAAATTTCCCACTTAAAATTAGAATATACTATGGCTGCCTTTTGGAAGATGATCTGTGATAAGGTGCAATAATATTTCAGGGGCTTGAAACACACAACTCCCTGTGCTAAGCCATAAGCAAGTTCTTGGTTAATAGCCAAAAGAAAATCTGCTAATTTCTGAAAGCTATTCAGGCAAATTTCTACTTTAATGACTAGACACATTCAAGAAAATGTCCTGATTTCATTTTGTTTACTTTAAGTTTGTGATGGCCAGTAAACAGGTTAGTCTGGTTTTCTTGCTCCAACTTGCTAAATGATGGTGTTCAAGTGACTCAATCTCTTCTAGATTCACCATCAGTAAAGTGTTCTGTTTACTAACATGTCATAGAAAATATGACATGTTAGTAAACAGAGTGTGCTAAAAAAGTAAAGCAAAGGCCCTAAATGTATATTAGGTCCTATATGTATATCTATATTGTAACTATATATGTATACTATATTTAAACTATCTCAAATTATATGTCACTTTGCTATATATTTAAGGCCTACAGTAGAAGACATTTCACTTCAGAATCTTTTCCAGCATTTAATATTTGTTATTGTCAGGATATAACAAATTTCTCATATGGTCACTGAAATTCAATTAAAGTATCACTATAATCAATTATCTTGTGATATTAAGTTAAATATTTTCTAACCTGAAAATAAATCACTTGTCATCATTTAACAGATTAAAAAAAACAACACATGATATATAATCAGGATATCTGTAAAGAACATTTGATGACAATGATGTTTATTATAGCCAAACTTCAGACACAGCCCAAATATCCACGAACAGTAGAATGGATAAATTCTGGCATATTCAATCCAAAGGAATAATGCATAATAATGAAAATGAATGAAATAAAACTACATGCAACTATCTGGATGACTCTTCAAAACATAATGTTGAGTAAAGGAAGATTCTATAAACATAAAAAAGATGCAAAAAGTAAACATATTGCTAAGGCATACATATGAAAGTGATAAAATTACATAGAAAATTATAAATAATTACCACAAAAGGCAGGATATTGCTTACCTTTAAAGAAAAGGGAGACTATATGAAGGGCTTTTGGGATACCAGTAATGCTCTATGGTTACATGGATGTTTGCTACACAATTATTATGTAATTATTCATATTATTGTACATATATGCTTCTACATCATGTTATATTTTAATAGAAAAGTTTAAAATCATGTATTTTCTGAAATAATATTAATATATCTTTACAGAGAAAGAAGAAAGGATTCTTCTTGCTAAGAATTTTCTTGGTCTACATTTCTAATTTTTATTGCAATATTTTATTAATAAAGAAATGTTACTATGCCTAATTCTCCACAATCCTAATAAAAGAGTGATTTCACAGACTTTCCCAATGGCTACAAAAAATATATACATATCAGGCCTTTAAAACTCCTTAAGATCAGATATTCTGCTAGATCTTTGTTCAGCCGCTCAATGTTGTTTCGGTCACTTTTGCTTCTTTTCAAGAAAATGTTTATTCGCTTTTTTAAAAAATCCAAATTATATCCAGGTAATAACTTTTTTAACATTAATTTGTACATATTTGTCAGGTACAGCGTGTTTTTTTTAATATATGCATATACTGCACAATGATTCACTTAGGGTGGACAGCATAGTTTTGTACCTATAAGACCCCACATAATAATTTAATGCAGACTGCACTGCAAAAAATAGATTATTTTAGCTCAAAGATAGGAAGGAACACTTTTATTTCTCACACATTTTTAAAATCAATTTTGGGAGCACATGTGTATGTATATGAGTACAATGGTCAGTTCGTGATAGGTCCGACCCAGTGTCATTCTGTGTAAGTATGGTTCACTGTGTGTACTAGAAAACATGATAGCTTGATTATAGGGTAGATATACAAAAAAGTTATTTAAAGTCCACTGAATAAAATGTAACATAGGATGATTCGTTCAAAATAGATTGGACATTGTTTAATTTTAATTATACAGGAGCACTTTTAAATATTTCCTTTGGAAAAGCAAAAGTACAGGTAATTGAAATTATTACAAAAGACATCATGATAATAGTAAACTGACTTACATTACAAAAAAGCAAACACAATACAGAAAATCCTAAAAGGTCTACCACCTACATCCTTCAATATATGTTTGCTATGACTTTTAGATGCCACTAAACAGGAGGCAGACAATGAAATTTACAAGCAAGACTATCAGCATTCTCATCAGGCTCCAGATATCAACATGATGGCAATGGTATAGCATCATTATATCTATTATGATAACAAGAGTTACTTTTGTTGTATGCTGCTGGTTTTTTATGAATGCAGCCAATGGTTCCTCTCCTTAGAGGGTCTATCTAGCTAACCAGTTATTCGCCCATCTATTAAGTGCCAACCTTAGAAAATTACACTGTGTCCAGCAGGGAGCAGCATTACAACAGTCATAAGACTTAACTTGAACCTGAAACTGACAGAAGAAAAAGGAGGGAAAAAGCCCACTTACCATAGATTTGTTCTACAACACATACAAGTTTAGGGTAGTTTCAGGGCTTCCAGAAAAAAAATCTAAAGCATGTCTCAAAGTAGATGTGGGTGATCCATGGTTTCAGGACTCCTACAGCAAAAAATCAAAATTATATTAGATGAAGGCTTCTCTTACCCATGTTGCGTTGAATTAGTATATAATATGACTAAATATCTCTCAGTTAAGGTGCATCTTTCTCTTAGTGAGTCAATGGGACTTTGAGTTCAGATATTTGATGACACTTTGGACAAAACAAATTTTTAAAAAAAAGAACATTAAAGTCCTTTATGCATCAGAGAATTTAAGTAGAAGAAATTAATTGGAAGACATAACAGATTATATGGTATCAATCAACCTAGAAAGAATTGTGATCATTGCCATACACTATATACACTGATGTATCAAACTCTTTTAGACCTAGACAATTTGCAAGCAATAGAGAAAATATAAACATTCACTTCTACAGGTCAGCATGAATATCTGAATTTAATTTTAAGAATGAAAAGGCAGTGGAGAAGTAGTTTATAATACTGATGTGTAAAACCGGTTAATCAGGTATTTACTGAATATGAGAAATGCACATGATATTACCAAAAATCCTCATAACCTGTTATGAGACAAAGGCAAAACCCTGTATTGTGTTTGATACTGACCTGAAGGTCAAAACCTGTCTCATATTCAACTACAATAATTCTACATCACTTCTTATGATTGAGGAGAAAAAAAATGTTCAATCTCCACTTTTGTGACTTCAGTGTCTACACCAAAAACCAAATTTCTGCCTTCAAAGGAAGATAACATATGAATATTCACCTTTAAACACAATTATATCTTATATAATTACAATATCACATATCAATATTTTATTAATATATAAATAATATATTTATTTGAAATTTAATGTATAATACATAAAATGGCTCCTACTTTTTTCTTCTGGCAAAATGACACAACCAGATTGACTTGAGTAAATGACATCAAGACTATGATGACTGTCCAGTAATTACCATTAATTTGACTGAGTGGAAAGAAACTCTGATACATTAATCTTCTACCATTTAACAGCAAGCTATTCATTGATCATCTTTTGCTCTTAAGAGTCTTTCTCTTATCCTATCTTTTGCCTTTGCTTTGTATATTTCACTTTTTCTAATACTTCCTCATTCCTGCCAATCTGTCTTCCCTGTTTTGTAATGCATTTCTATATCAACCCATATTTCTGTTTTATTCCGTCTCCTCCCTTTATAACCCACTTTTTTACCCATCTTAGGAACTTTAAAAGTGGTTTTCTCTCTGAAACAACAGTCTGCTTAAATATATTCTTTTATTTATTTACAGGCACTATGCTTGATATTAACAATCTCACCTGATCGGAAGACTCAACTAAACATGATTAAATTATATTTCTGCTATTCATAAAAACATTTTTTCCTCTGAGTTATTTAAACATTTGAAGTACTCACAAATATTTGCTATGTTATGGTTCAAATGCCCCCGCCCCCCCCATGCTCATGTTGGAGATTAATCCCCAATATGATATTTGAAAGGTGGAGCCTTTAAGAAGTGATTTGATCATGATGGCTATGCACACATTCATGGACTAATGGGTTAATGTATGAATAGGTTTGCATGGAAGTGGCACTAGCATCTTTATAAGGAGAGAAAGAAGTACCTTAGCACACTCTTGCTCAGCCTCATTATATGATACTCTGCATTGCCAAAGGACTCTATAGAGAGTTCCTAATAAGAAGGCAGCCCTCACCTTCACAGCCTCCAAAACTGTAAGAAATAAATTCTGTTTCTTTATAATTTATCCAGTTTCAGGTATTCCATTATAAGCAACAGAAAACACACACAACATTTTAGAGTCAATCTTGAAACACCCAAAAATCTCAAGGAAATCTAATCTCACACACTCATTCCAATCAATTAGACCATCCTATTCTAATAAAGAGGTGATTTAGGATCTTACCACATGGTTGTGAAAAGGTACTCAGTAAAAAACTTCTTAAAGTCAACAGGACTTAGTTATATGTGTGTGCATCCACATAAGCAATATCCCCATTAAAAAGCAAAGGCAAACTAAATAGCCCCCTACTTCTAACATATATTATAACATCTGAGAAGAAAAGTGATTTCCCTATTGAGCACTCTCTAATATAAATCTTAACATTAAGAATATCAGTATTTTGTAAAATAATCTCATAAAATATAATTATTCACAATCTTCAAAATGTTCAAAATTTGTAAGCAGAACATACTACACCACTTATAATTACCTAAAAAGAGACTGTAGTGGGTTGAGTAGTATTCCCCCCACCCCCGTCCTGCTTTACACACATACACACACACACGCATGCACACAAATTCATGTCCACCTGGAACCTCAGAAAATGACCTTAATTGGAAATAGGGTCTTTGCAGATGTAATTAAGGTAAAGATAAACATGACATCACACTAGATTAGAGAAGGCCCAAAATACAGTCAGATGCCTTCATAAGAGATAGAAAAGGACACACAGAGACAAAGAGAAAAGGACAATGTGTTAATGAAGGCAGAGATTGGAGTTGTGCTGCTACAAGTCAAGGAACAACATGAGCCATCAAAGTTGGAAGAGGCAAGGAAGGATTCTCCCCTAGAGTCTTTGGAGCAAACAGAGCCATGCTGACATCTTTTTTTTTTTTTTTTTTTTTTTTTGACCTGTAAGGGGATTGCAACCCTCAGCATGGTGTTGTCTGCACCATGCTCAGCCAGTGAGCGCACTGGCCATCCCTATATAGGATCCGAACCCACGGCCTCAGCGCTACCAGTGCCGGACTCTCCCAAGTGAGCCACGGGGCCGGCCCCATGCTGACATCTTGATTCTGGAACTTTGGGCCTCCAAAATTGTGAGAAAATAAATTTCTGCTGTGTTAAGCCACCAAGTTTGTACTAATTTGTTATGGCAGTCCTGGGGAACTAATACAGATTTTGGTACCAGTAAGTACCAAGGGATGTTGCTGTTACAGATGTCTAAAAATAGAATGTCTAGATTGCCTTGAAGAGACTGTTTGTATACATTGAGATGTTAAAGTAATTCTGGTGCCAGCTCAGAAGGAAGTGAAGAGGATGGCAGAAAAAGCTTCTATCACCTTAGAGAATACATATACAGTCATGCACTGCTAAACAACAGGGATACATTCTGATAAATGTGTCCTAGGCAATTTTGTCGCTCTGTGAGCATCAAAGAATGTACTTATTGCAAACACAGATGATAAAGCTTACTACACATCTAGGCTATATGGTATAGCCTATTGCTCCAACCACTGTCATATAGGTAGTCAGTCACTGACCAAAACATAGTTATGTGGTGCATGATTGTACTGTCATGAACAGAATGTTGGTGGAAGTATGAAAGTTAAAGGGGCTTCTGGTGAGGTCTCAAGAAGGAAATGAGGGACATGGTATTGAACCATGGAGGAAAGGCAATCCTTGTTATAAAGTGGCAGAAAAGTTGACTGAAATATGTTCAACTAGTGGGTGGAAAGTAGAACTTGGAAGTGTTGAACTTGGCTATGTAATTGAGGAGATTTCTAAGCAAAGTATTAAAGAAACAGATTGGTTTCTCCTTGCTGCTTGGAGTACAACTGAGGAAGAAACTGTTAAGCAAAAAGCAGCCAGCACCTGATGACTTGGAAAATTCTCAGCCTATGTACATTGCAAATGATGCTAAAGCATACTCTGGAGAAGTGGCCAAGGGTATGACCAGAAAAGATTAGGTGTGTGACTAATGAATCTAATTGACCATCTCAGCAGGAGCCAAGAATAGAGAAGAATTATAGAGGTAGGATCTGTGAAGAACCCTGTTGTCTACTGGCAAGGATTCCCTTGACATACATGGAAGGACCACAGGCTTCTGAGGATGTTATACCAGCAGAAACACTACCATCTTGGACTGAAAGGGACAGAGACTTGATGAAATGAAAGGATGTTGGACTCCTGAAATTCTATAAGCAGAAAATGGACTAATAGAGTTATTCAGCTGCAAAGACATGCTAATCTTCAAGAAAAAGGGAAAATGACTCCAAAGGCAGAGACATGGATGCAAAGGTAGAGACCAAAGAGGGTGGGACCACCCCTAAGAGCAAGAAGGCAGGGCACCAAGCCTCAGAGAACTATTCCCAGGCCTTAAAACCAATTGAAATTTGCCCTTCTGGATTTGGAATCAGTGAGCCCTTTATTCCTTCCAATTTCTCCCTGTGGGAAAGGGAATGTCTATCCCATGCTTGTCCCATCATTGTATTTTAGAAGAAGATAATTTGCTTTCTAGTTTCACACATCCACATATGGAGAAGAATTTTGCCCCAGAATGGATTATAGTCAGAGTCTCAACCATGACTAATTTAAATGATGAGATTTGGTACTTTCTGAGTTCATGATATTTGGATTAGATTTTGGATTTAGAGTTGATACTGAAATGGGTTATGCCTTATGGGATGTTGCAATGGGATGAATGCATTTTGCACATGGAAGGGCTGTCAACTTTGGGGTGCAATGGGAGAACTACAGTGGGTTACTAAGTGTATCCCTCAAATTCATGTCTTCCTCGAACCTTAATAATGTGACCTTATGTGAAAATAAGATCTTTGAAGATGTAATTAAAATAAGAATCAAGGTGAGACCATCCTGTGTTAGACCCTAAATCTAACGATAACGTCTTTATAAGAAACAAACAAGGATACACAGAGAGACAGAGAGGAAGGCAAAGAGTATGAAATATCCAGAGATTAGAGCGATGTACTTATAACTCAAGAAATCACAAGGAACTAGGGGAGAGGCATGGGACAGTTTCTCCCTCAGAGACTCTAGAAGGAACAAACTCTGGTGACACCTTGATTTGAGACTTCTAACTTTCACAAGTGTAAAAGAACAAATTTCTGTTGTTTTAAGCCAAGAAGTTTGTGATTTGCTACAGCAGCAGCCCTAAGAAAGTAACACACAGACCTAAACTGTTCATCATTATTATCAGAATTAAATTAAATTATAGGTATAACATATAACATAGGAAATAACGCGCAATTGTTTGCATATTCTCTGTTAATTAAAAATG